TGCAGACCAGGAGGAGAACAGGCTGCCTCTTAAAAGATGACTCCTTGGCCAAGGAGGTAATGTTACCTTGAAGCAGATGAGGAGCAGCGTTATCAGACAGAACAGGGGGCTGCTTCTGAGGACAAGGGAGGGTAAGTGGCAGGGGGCAGGTGGGATACTCATGAGCCCTCCAAATGGTCCCCTATATCTCCACTCCAATATTGGGGCCTCATCCTTACCCAGTCAGTGCTCTGTTTTTCAGCTACAAAACCTGATGGGCTGTAAATTCAGCTGATGTTATTCAAGAGCTTGAAGACAGATTTTTAATTAGCTTTCCAGGTCTCTTGGCCTTGCTTTTCGAAGGGATGAAATTCAGCATGGTTATAGAAGTCTCTAGGTTTCAGCCTGTGGCTTTCATTAAGTCTGTAGGGATCTGAGTTTGTTAAATTCTCTTTTGTAAGTTATTCAATGCCGTTAATAGTAGCCACCCTTCTATGGCCTTGGATTTCACTACCCATAATACTTTAGGTTGGCAGGGATGCAGTCCCCCAGAGCTGGGCCTTCAGTGGGCCTGTCATTCCAGGTGACTTCTGGGGAACTACCTTACTGCGTGCCGTGGGCTGCTTGAGTCCCCTCTCAGAGTATTAGCAGAACTTTCACTATTGTCTACCCTTTCTAAGGCAGATAACCAACTGCAGATATTCCTTATTTCCCAACTTCTCTGTAATTTGCAATACCCACTCCTAGTACTGAATTCTGTTTTGGTTAGGAACTTCTCAGTGACAAGTAATGAAAACTGAATCTGTTAGAAGGAAAAAAGAAACTGTAGTAGAAGAATGTTGGGGGCTCATAGAATCACGGGAGGTTGGAGGATTATGTTTGGAAAATGGATAGAAACCAAGACAGTCTGAAGAGCCAAGAAACAGACAGCATGACAGCCATTTTGATGCTTCTGCAACATTGCTGGGCGCTGCTCTATGAATTCTGTTGTGCTCATTCTTTCCATATTCAGCAGCTTCTGGGCACTAACTAAGTGAAGGTGTCTGATGGGCCTCACCGGGTCAGCGGCCCACACCCTGGTGGAAGCAGGGAGAGGGGAGATCGACCTCTGCATTAGTGGGTGGTGAGGCACTTCAACCCAATGGCGGGTCCCCAAAATTGGAGAAGAGGGAGTGTTGCATCCCAGGTAGCTAAAAAACAAAAGTAGAATGGGTGGATTTTAAACAGGCCCTTAGGGGAAAAAAGTGTGAACCAGAATTCCCACATAAATATAGTGCCGTATATTCTGGAAAAATAGTCAGTCTCACGTTGAAGTCCTGATACATTCCAGGCTCTGAGGTGTTGGAGATACTATGAATCAGGGTGGTCTTGTCTTCAAAGAGCACAGGCTTGTGGGAAAACAAGTAAACTCAAGATTGTCAGCTGTGTTCTTGAAATTCTTAGGCCAGGATGTGGCAGTCTCAGCTCATGGTAAAGGGTCCTTTATGAAGAAAGTGGATTGGGCAATTAGAAACATGGAGAGACCCTTCAGTGTTTCTTTTTGGTCCCTGTTCTCCTACTCGCTAATGTCTAGAAGAGGGTTTAAAAAGAGAAAAGTAAAAGTCTTATTTATTGATCAAGGAAAATCAAGGCAAAAATAATAAGGATGAAGAGCAATCAGTTATCTTCATGGCACATGTTGTGAAGGACAGGAAATGAGAGAGGAGGGAAAAATGTGAATTATGTGGATTTGTAGCCAGCTGACCGAAGTCATCTGGGCCAAAGAAAGTTGTAGAACTTTCAAATCCTTTTGAGTCCTATATACTTTTTCCACTAAAAAATAAAAAGATTGGCTCTTCTCAGTACCTTGCAGATCATTCTGTTCATTCATCCAACATTTATTGGCATTTACTCAGAGCCAAAGACTGAAAGATAAATTACGCTTCTCTGATGGCCCTGGAAAGTACCGTGGTAGATCATCTCCAAAGACGGTTTCCATCGATTCCTTCCTCCCTTTTGTCATTCCCATTTGCCTTGAATCTCCCTGGTGTGGTGACTTGCTTTGACCAATAAAATGCAACAGAAATGATATGTGCCAGTTCCTACCCTAGCCTTTAAGGGTGCTGGCAGTTTCTTCTTTCAGTCACCATGTAAGCAGGTTGACTATCCCAAGACCATTATGCTGTGCAGAAGCCCAAGCCAGCCACATAGAAAGGCTCCTGTAGAGGAGAGCTGAGGCACCAGACGAGCGGGTGAAGCCTTCTTAGACCTTCCGGCTCAGCCCAACCACTAGCTGAATGCAGCCAAGTGAGTGACCCTAGTTGATGCCACCTAAAGTAGAACTACCTGGCTGAGTGCACTTGGCCCCCAGAGATAATAAACGGTGGTTGGAAGCTGCTGTGTTGGGGTGGTTTGTTTTGCAGCAACAGATAACTGGAGCGGGTAACATCATACCAGGTCAGTCAGCAGGACTCTTCCCAGGTTGGCTGAATCGAGGCTTTTGGGTAGACTGGGGGAAAGTGGTGATTCTGGAGAACTCTGGCAGGCAGCCTACTGGTAGAGGATGGGGGGAGGGTTTAGAAAGAGGGCTCTGATGCGACGGAAGAGGTGCACCTCAGATCCCTATGTCCTGCCCTTCCAGCGTAGGTGGTTAGTGTTCTCCATGCACTCCTCCTCACTTCCAGGATACATCGTGTCCTCCCAAGCCAAACCCTCTGAGCATCAGTCAGTTACTACTTGTGTGTGAAAATAGGGGACAGATGTAGAACTTGAGGCAGTGCTTGGAACTATCAAAGAAGGATGGGGACATGGGAGGCAGAAAGACAAGTGGTGGAGTGCCCCCAAACATCACTCCTTTATAGCTTTGCCTGAGAACTGGCTACCCTGTCTCAGAAAACTTTGCCATACTTTGGCTAGGAATATTTTAATTTATTAATCTAGCATCTGTTAATCATCTTCAGGGCACTGCATCAGTCTCTGAGAATTCAAAGATGAAAACACAGTTCTTACTTTCAAGATGTTCATCACTGCTTGATGGATAAATTCTGGGGCCATGGTATGTTTTGACATTGTAGAGGTTACTTACACATTTCCCTAGAAAGACTACACTACCTGGTGAGAGAATTCATTTTACCCCTTTAGTTCTTTTAAAAAAAGTCCTGATCCATGGCTCCATTAATCAATCTCTATCTATCTATCTATCTATCTATCTATCTATCTATCTATCTATCCATCCATCCATCCATCCATCCATCCATCCATCCATCCATCCATCCATCCATCCATCTATCCATCCACCCCACCTGCCTTGGTCTTTCAGACCTCAACTCCACCCAACCCTGCTTGTTTCCATGTCTAGACCTAATTTTTGTTGTGTAATTTACCAAGCTTGAACTTGGTTGATGCCTGATGGATCAGACGACTTCTGTGATAGACCTGAACCAGGTGATTCCACAGCTCCAAAATGGACCCCAGAGGTCATCATATCATTTACTTTTCCAAAGATGATGGTGAATCTGAACCACAAATCCATGAACTAGCACTATGATTTAGCCCTCTTTGACCCAATAGAAACTGTTCAAAATTCTGGTTCCACTGAACATCTGCCCAATTTTTTCTGTAAGTTGTGTTTTTCATCAAATTAGTTTTAAAAATAACAAGGATCAAACTCTTAAAACTTTTTATAAAGAACAAACTGGATCCAGTTAATGGTAAACTCTAGAAACTTAGGGGCAAGAAGCTGAAGAGAGAAGCAAAAAGTTTAAAAAAATCAGGCAGGTTCAGGATAGTCAAGTAATTAAGGCCAATAGTAAATAAAACGGCTCAGCTCATGTGTTAGCAATGAGTTTTTCTACTTGTTGAAAGAGACATTTGCAGGTAGTGAAATGATGTGGCTCTAAAATTCCCAACATCAGCCATTTTCAATTCCTACCCTTCCTTCGCTTTTGATGAAACCATCTAAATTGACAACATGGAAAAGTTAATAAGGAATGGCACTTGGAGAGCTTCTGGCAGCATGTGAATCAGTTGCTATGACTATGCCCCACCGCCCAAATTCTTGTGATGATGACGACCTGGCTGTGTGATGGGGCAGTCAATAGCTGGTTTATTTATAGTCAGGACTGCTCTGCTTCTACTCACCCCCCCATCCCGAATTCTGTTCAGACTCTGGCATTAATTGAGCCATGTGGCCTTGAGCAAGTCAACTTTTCTAGGCCTCCATTTTCTTATCTATAAAATGAGGAGATGGGATTAGGCCCATGATTTTAGAAGCGAATGTTATAAACAGCAGAGATAGAAAGAACAATGCAGGGAAAGAGACAGTGTAGGTACCAGGCGTACCTGGCCCATAACCTGCCACTTGCTGCTTCTCACATGGAAATCCTATTAGAAATTCTCCAAAACTGTGATCTGATCCAGCTTTAGGCTAGATTTTTTTTCTCCCTTTAGAAAGAAAAGCTGAGCTCAACCATTTGGGACTCTACATTCCTGCTATTCTCTTTTTTTCTTTGTGGTACATTTCTCCTCAGTGATTCTTTTAGTGCACTTTTTTATATTGAAAATAGACATTTTATTTTGTTTATACGAGGCACAATTTCAAAACACAAATCATATGTAATACGTAGATATAATAGACAAGGAAGTATAAATATAAATGGGCATATATGGAAAATGTCACTGAGTTCAGTGTTCTTTCTGAATCCTTAAATCAAGAGGATTCACTGGGCACCATATCTCTTTGCTCCCTTTCAACGCATGCAGAGCACCTAATTGGAGAAGCGTTTTTAGGAGCTGAAATGCTGGTGTCATCCTTGTAGATGTCTCCCAAGCCAGGAGGAGCCTCGTAATTCACTTAGAGCCTCAGGTATATTTCTTTTCTTTGTAAACTGCAATCAGGATGAGGGGTGGAAGAGATAGTCAAGCTGAGAAGCTATCCTGAATCGATGTCATAATGAAATAAAAGCCCTGATGGGAAGACCTGAGGCCTTCAGCCTCTTCCGGGAAAGCTTCAACTGCTGAGACTTTGGGAACTCGGCCCTGCACCTGTGGCAGGCAGGGCAGGGAAGGCAGCGAGCTTCCATCCTGAGCCTGGAGAGCTGACTCATACAGGTGGTGCCCAGGCTGGGCACAGTGGATAAAATGATGCCAGGACGTTTAATCATCCTGGTGGTCTGTTCCCTGGCGCCCAGCTCTTTGAGTCCTTTCTAGGTCCTCTGGCTAGAGCAGGCTTGGTGCCTTCGCCCCAGCCTTTGCTGGCCTCAGTTGTCACCCGGAGCTTCCTAGGTCGTGTGGGTAGTTTTCTGTGTCCTCCTCTCTGCCGCTGGTTCCCCCGGCCATTGGTATATCTTCCATGTTTTCCATTTCAACATTGGCTCTCCGGGAAGTACGCCTGTAAAGCAGATAATGCACAGGTTTTGAAAGGGGAGCAAGTGGCCTTCAAATTGAGTGAACAGATAGTTGCTGTTGAACATTCAGATGCAGAAAACCTAGACTGCCTCCATTCACAGAAAGTGCTTAAATCCTATTTTAATGTTTTTAACCCCCTCATCCACCAAAGATTTACCAGTGCTGTCGGAGCGACTTCCCCCACCTTGCCAACCCTCTGCTAGAAGCAGTGGTTCAAATGGTGAGAACAAGAAAGGAGAGAGTAACTAGGAGCCTGGCTAAGCTGGGCGTGATAATCTTGATAAAAATGAGGTAATATTTATAAAGCTTTTCAAATAGTTCTTGGGACTTAGTCAGTGTTAAATAAATAAACAAATATATCAATCAGTTTCTGAATAGCCCAGAGTAGGGGAGGCAGAACATCTTATTCCATGTTTCCCTGTCTGTCGTTGAACGACATGTTTTTTAGGCCCTGAGTGTCTGGCTCAGTGGTTTCTTCCACGGATTATTTAATCCACCTCCTGAGGGTCAGCAGCTTTTTAGGACATTTTAAAGCAAGCACTTTGGGCCGCCCCGTGGCTCAGCGGTTAAGTGCGCGCGCTCTGCTGCTGGCGGCCCGGGTTCGGATCCCGGGCGCGCACTGACGCACCACTTCTCCGGCCATGCTGAGGCCGCGTCCCACATACAGCAACTAGAAGGATGTGCAGCTATGACATACAACTATCTACTGGGGCTTTGGGGGAAAAATAAATAAAGTGGGCACTTTGAGTTCCTTGGAGTGAGAGCCAAACTATAAGTCAGGACTTAGGCCAGTTTATCAAAAATAATTTGCTAAAAGCCAATTTGTTGAAAGACAAATCTACCTAATAACCTGTTTGCAAAAAATCAGTCTATGGCCAGAATCAATTCACCAAGTGACCAAATACTCACACTTATCAGGTTTACCAATTCTTCTTAAAGATATATTTATGAATATTTCTTTAACATAGTCAGTAAATATTGATATTTTCCTCTTATGAGCATATTTATTGGCCATATATACCAAATTGACAAATTCTTTCTAAGAATATATTTTTAACATATTATTCTTTAGAAAGATTTTTGTATATTCTTTTTTAATATGGTCAATGAATACAGTTAGTCATTATAATGTCTTAAGAATATAGCTCCAAAATCATTATTTTATGTGGAAGTTATTCAGTTATAATGATATTTTAAAAATCATTTTCTATTTTGCCAACATTTTGGCATTTTTTGGATTGTTTTGATAATTTTTGAGTAATATATCAATCTTAGTTTGTGAATTTCTCAACTATTTATGAGGCTCATGGCATTTCTTATTCTTTGGGATAGTAGTAACAGCTTTTGAAGATTTATGTCATTTTTTGGATGGCTGTTTTTCATTTTGGCTTTACAGTAGCATTTCATGGAATGTTCGTTTTGTCAAAGTTAGGCTGGAAGGATGGTATAATCTTTATACTGATACTTAGAAAAGATATTTTATAACTAGTAACTAAAAGTTTAGTTTCAACAAATCTGATATCCACTCATTGTATGATGCTGAGGAAGGATCCAGAACAATCATATCAATATGGAATGCTGAAATACTGGTTACTAATTGATAGAAGTGCAAAATTAAGGCTAATATGCCATTTGAGGCTTTAGTGAAAGTGACAAAAATGCCTAAAGATGAGAAAAATAAGCCCTGAAATTTCAGCAAGTAGCAGAAACAATCTTGTCACAAATGCTGAAATGTAGAATTTCAATTATTAGAAATACAAAAGGAAGGCCGACATGAATGAATATATTTATAAGAAAGGATGTCCGTATTTAATGAGTACATTCAAGAAGAATATATTCATGAATATATCATAAGAATTGATACAAATCGCATATCCATCAAACTGGTCATTTGGCCCATTCCTTCTCTCTGAATTGGCTTTTGGTAAACTGGCCCTGTGTCATCAGCTGGGTTCTTGCTGCCCCGTTTCTGACTGTGGCCTGCAAAATGCTTTGGAAAGAGAAGGGCTCCATAGGACTGGCTCAGTGACTGCTCAGCTCTGACACTCCTTTTGGCCGATATAGAAGGGGGCCACTGTGAGAGTCTGTAGCCAGGAAAGAGATTCTTCCTTTGAGAGGGCAGGCCTGGAATCATCCTGGTGCAGCTCCTTTCTTAGAGGGAAGGAAGACTCTTGTCCAATGAGGTTCTCCCCAGCTACTCACCTTAATACTTTGTAATATACCAGAAGAAGCACGACACATACTCCAAAAAGCAGGGTGACAGGTATGGAGACGGCCACTGTGGAAGAACAGAACTAAGCTGGCATCATGCTAAAAGTCTAGGTAGCAGATTCATTTCTAAGAATCTGAAAATTCTTTACAATTTACATTCCTGCAGAGAGATCCAGATGCTTGCCCAACCAGCTTACTGTTATTAACATGTCTTGAGGTCCATGCCATTCAGTCTATTCTATCTCTGGGCTAAAAGTCCACTCCTTTCCCACTAATGCTGCCAGTTCAAATTGTCCCCATTTGTGTTATCACACATTCCACGCTCCTAATCCTCGTCCTTCCTGAGCACAGTGACACAGAAGATGGCACAGGGACAGGAGTGAGTCAGGAGGGGAAAGTAAGGGGCTCAGAGATGAGAAGCCGGGTGGAAGTGTGAGGACGAGGAGGCCAGTACTTCAGGAGATGAAATGCCTGCGGCTAAGTCCAAAGTCAAGAAAATAGACAGGGCAAGTGTCCTCCTCAGCGGTCCCCTGGCACAGCTTCTTCCTTTCCCTCAACTGCACAGAATCCTGATTGAGAAACAATAGCGTACAGTGCCATTTTCCTCCCAATTTCATCATCATCATTTATTTATTTGCAACTTTTAATGGCAGAGGAAGAGCGGTAAGGAGAAAGAAGAGGTGTTATAAGAGAGATGTTGCAGAGAAGAGGAGAATAAGGTAACGGCTTAGGAAAAGGAAAACACGTGTTCCGACTGAGTGGAAAGGAACAGCATGGAGTGGTGGGAGGACTGGAGGGTGGAAGGCCAGCAGGCATGGCGGTATTTCAGATTTATCGGACAGGATAGGAAGAGTGGGACCTTCATGTGGAAGCAAGAGGGCTTAGCCCGAGGGCAGGGTGAACATAACTATTTTTAAAACACTTGCGTCAATAATAAGCTCCAGGCAGATTTGGCCAATTTGCCTTAATATTGTGGAGTCCCCCTGCAAAAATCACCTACCTGCCTACATGCAAGATGACAACCCAGAACATCTGGGGAGCAGTAGTCTCATTGTGGACCCAGAGTCACATATGCCTTCTAGACTGTTAAGCTTTTCAGACCTGCGCCTGTACAACCAGCACAAGACCTGGTATGTAAGGATAAATCTCCTGTGGGCTGGCCTTCAGAATACACCTCTGTTGAAAACCAGCTAAACATAAAGATGTGGGGAAACGCCCAGGTTCTCTGCTGGTAGGAGTGTAAATGGGTACAGTTTTTCTCAAGTGCAATTGACAACAAAAAAGCTTTAGAGAAGACCATACCCATGACCATCTAATTCCACTTCTGGGAATTTATTCTAAGGAAAGGAGAAAATAGATACAGGAGTATTCACTGAAGTATTGTTTAAAATAATTTTTAAAATGTTAATCTAAATCTCTTATCAATAGAAAATAAGTCACATAAAATGTGGTACGCCCATGTAATGGAATACTATTCAGCTTTTAAAAACTATGAGATGAATCTATGTTTATTAACATGGAAAGACGTCTACAATATCTTAAGTGAAAAAAGCTGGTTGAGATAAAAGTGAACCAAAAATAATCTCCAGTAAGCCATGTGTGTGTCCACATGCACAGAAAAGTCTTGAAGAATATATAGCAAAGTATTAATGGTGGGATTGTAGATAACCTTTATTTTCTTTTTCAAAAAAGTTTGGTAGTTTTGCAATGATACTGTAATCAGAAGAAACTGTGAAATTATAAAAACAAAACTACCTGCACCTGAATAAATAAAAATAAGCATAGAAAACTTGTTCCAAAAGAAGTAACAGAAAACATGGGAAATTAGTGAAATATGTTTTGAGTTTTCAGACTTAACATTAATCATCACTATGACTAAAAAAACAGAAATTTTTTTTTGGCAGAGATGTTGTATCCTATGGTAAACTCTTTCTTCACATTGAGTAATCAGCTTGGCATGCACTTAGCGTTCATGGAGAGATTTATCGGAAAAGGCAAGTTAATGTAAACTATACTTTTACTTTCACCATGCTTCTTCCTGTTTCCTTTTAAGAAGAATAAAAACTGCAGACTCAAACTCAAGTGAGAAGAGGGCTCCTGAGCCAATGATATAAACAAAGCAATTTGAGTTCAGTGACTTAAACTCAGACCCCTGGCCTCTGCCTCAATTATATCCAGGCAAATTTAGTAAAGAAATTGAAACCAGGATCACTAAAAAAATGGGTTAACATATCAAGTGCCAAGCTCTCCACCCTTTTCTGTTTCCTAGAAGGTGCCTAGATTGGAGAAAAAGGAAGAGAAAGAAATTTGGTGAGATAGACGAGGAGAGTAGGATTAGAGTCTGGGAGAGGGAGGAGGAAAAGTGGATTATTGCACAGGAGGCCAGAACAGCCAGTAGCTCCCCGCCTAGACTTCCACCCCCACCTAGACTTCCACCTACAGGGCATGTTGGGTCTAAGGCGGAGAAGGTGGCCTAGACAGCCAGTAGCCGCTGTTCGATGTGGGTGATGAAAATGTCCTCTGAAATAAATATACAGGGATTCGCCATTCCTTAGCAATACTCGCAAACTAGGTCAGTCAGGGGTGTAATATTTCCGATGTCACCGTTCAGGGTGCGTGTATGCCTGTATCCGATGAAGGCAGTTTGAAGTAAGAGCATCAATTCATATTCCTGGGCAGTGGCTTCTTTTCTATCTCTTACTGTATCAAGCACACAGTAAGTGGTGGGTTCAGAGTAGGTACTCAATAAATACTTAATTAATGGAATTAAACCCTTAACATTCCGTAAGTTGAAATACATTTAAAGTGCCATTTGCTTTTTAAGGAGAAATCTGCATTTCATTGCAGCTTAGGACCACACCTGGCACAGAGTAGGAACTCAATTTATATTGAATGAACAGATGAATGATATAATATAGAGGTGGCTCCTGTTAAAGGCTGAGCATATCGACTGCAGCAAGTTTATTTCAGATATGAAAGTTGAGAGGAATAATGCTGTCTGAAAAATACACTCCTCACGCCTAGTGTATGAAATGAATGTGGCAGTGTAAACACTGCCGTAGGTGACGTTCTAACCTTTTATTTTACAGTCAGGAGTCTTCAAGAATAGCCTAGTCAAGGATCAGAGACCAGATATTGGAATAATTGAATAAAGTTTTGATAAAAAGGGCTGCCAAGTGAGGCTATAGACATTTAAGATAATGAAATGATGAATCACACTTCCTAAACGTTTATTAAAATGTTAAAGCCCTCTATGTTATTCATTTGCTCACTCTTTTAATATTTATTGAGCATATACTGCTGAGCATTTACCATTTTCTGTTGAACTAAAAAAACCAACTTTTGAAAGTTGTGGTAATCATTTATATAACTTATTTAAAAAAACAAATTATGATATTCATAGTATCAATGGGCTGATTAAAACATTCAGTTAATTAACATTTACTGATCAACCCCTATGGTAAAGCATTGTTTATATTTTCTTATAAAGATGATCAACTGATTGCTTATTCATGCAGAAATGGCAACACCCACCAATGGCAGTGAGCATCTCTGCCACTTGTTCCTCACAGGGGCATACTCTTGGGCCTTAGGCAGCTGGTATTATATATGACATACTTTGAAGGTGCTATCACTCAGTGTTTTTATGATTCTGTTTTTTTTTTTTTTTTGGTGAGGAAGATTAGCCCTGAGCTAACATTTGTTGCCAATCCTCCTCTTTTTGCTGAGGAAGATTGGCCCTGGGCTAACATCCGTGCCCATCTTCCTCTACTTTATATGGGACGCCTGCCACAGCATGGCTTGATAAGCGGTGCGTAGGTCCTCGCCCAGGATCCGAACCTGCAAACGTCCGGCCACTGAAGTGGAGCGCACCAACTTAACCACTACACCACTGGGCTGGCCCCCTCACTAAGTGTTTTTAGAAAACTAGCATGATTTTAATTTTAGCTTACACCTTCTTAGCAGATAAAGCTTAAATAATATATGATGAAATATATCTCGTTTTCATCTCTTTGATGACTATTACTTGGTCTATCTTATAGTTAGTCATTAACATGTGTATCTTTATGTTTAATCAGCCTGAAAGAAGGAAATCTTATTAATGCAACATGAAAGATTTAAAAGTTTTTTTCTCTTAATCTCTGTATTTCCACATTTCCCTGCACAGAGCTATCTTTGTCTATTGTAGGTGTTCAGTTAATGTCGATTATATTACATTTCAGAATTTGGGAGAGTTTCTGATATTTTGATCCAGTGAAAGTCATGAACTTGGAAAAACATATTACAGATTACAACCTATAATAAAATAGTTGCTTGAAAATCTATGTAGAAAAAATGGCCCCCAAATTTTATGGGTAGGATTTTATCCTACAGATATACTTGCATACATGCAAAATGATATCACGTTTTCCAATTGATCATTGTTTGTAATTTAGCCAAAGAATGTAAGCAATCACATGTCCAAATAGGGAGTTGGCTACATAAATTGTGGCAAATCCATACAATGGAATATTTTGTAGCTGTTAAAAAGAAAGAGGTGGTTTTTATGTATCCATATGGAAGGTTCTCCAAGATATACCATTAAGTGAAAACATTAAGTGAGAACAGTGAAAATAAAATACCTAACTATCCAGCATCCTGTATCCTTTATATGCAATTTACAGATTGACTCTTTCTGAAGGGATACACAGAAATCTGGTAGCAGGAGTTGCTTCCTTCCTGTGAGGGGATTTTCAGTCAGAGATGGGGCTTTTTACCATATATCCTTTTGTAACTTTTAATTTTTAAACCCTGTCCAAATATTACCAATTAAAAAAATGAATAAAAATTTTAAAACTTTGTAGAAAGATCAATGTAGTATGACATAGGGAGAAAAATTAGGTTGGCTACTTTATTTACTGGCCACCTCTTAAATCATAAACATATTTTTGTTTCAATGTCCTTGTCATTAAATGCCACAGTTTTTCCATGAAAATACTCTCCAGAGAGCCTTTTAAAAATGTCTTGCCTTTGCACATATGTTTTGATAGTTTTTAAAACCATTCTAATCAACTAACTGCTGAAATGATCACAGCCACTTGCTTTTTCTCCAGATGACACTTGATGCAGATAAAATATAACCAGAAAAATATGAATGATTCCCTAGCAGAAAAACTTGTCAATAGAAAGCAGAAACAATTTTTGCCCCATTGAAAATTTGTCAGATGAAAGTATTAGATTCTTTCTTCCTACTTGCATTTCTCTCTCCCTGCTTCTGTTTCCCATCTTTCTCCTTTTCTCTTCTCTTCTCTCTCCTTCCTCCCCTCATCTTTTTCTTTTATTCTTCCAAATATGTTTCCATTTTCCTCTTCACATTCACTAGGACATTCTCTTTCTTTCTCTCCTGCCTTAATGTTGTGTGCGTGTTCTGTAAAAAGAAGCCTTTTATTCTGAGAAATTGGAACAGTCTTGCTGGAAAGTACATGTTGCCAACACCCCGTGAAATGTTCCTGCAGCTTATGGCAGAAGAACAATGTCATTTTAATGACAGCAGCACTCGTGTTGACAGTCCTGGACAGAAGTCTAGCCTGCGCAGTAGCATTGGATAGCTGAATGAGGAGGCCCTTTTTGTGCTGTGTCAACTGTCTGCTTTCCACAGCTGCAGCCTGACAGTGAGAAGCTATTGATGTTAAGATAAACAGTCATGTTAGAATTCCATAGATAGTGATCATGTAACTTAGTATCTAAACAGACACTTTTCAGAGTGAACAGGGATGCTGTTAGTGACTATGCTGGGACAGCAGGCATAAACTGGGACTGTTCAGCATCCTGGGACTGAGGTCCCCAGAGCATAAACATGGCCAGGACAAAGAAAAATACTTACCAGTCACAACTCTGGAATTGTATTGATATGCACCTGCAGAGAAGAGATTGCAGCTTAATTATTAAGGCACTAATTTCTCAATACACAGGAGAAATTCTGGACAATTTGGCTCCCATCTTAAAGCCTTGAGAGATTCATGGCTGGCAAAACCAAACTTGCTTTAGCAAAGAACAAGGTTAATTGTTTTAGATGCTGGGCCATACTTAGGAATCAGAGATGCCCTGACAGAAGATGCAGATTACCGAGAGTTCCTCCATCCCACAGATCGTGACTCAGATTGCGGAAAGCGTCCTCTGTCCTCCCACAATGGGAGGAGGCAGATGTTATTCAGATTCTTGGCAAAGGCTCTGCCATGCAGGTTAATACAGTGAGCCTTGTCACATCTGGGAGATGCACTTTCTTTTCCAGCTGGACTGAGCCAGAGCGGAGCACAGAGAACAGAGACCAGAGCAAGGAGGTTGTGGCAGAGAGCAGGAGGCTGAGGATTGCTAAGTTGTCCTGACTTTGGATTGGATGGTCTAATGCTATGCAGTCAGCTTGTTCGAGATCTCCACCCACATCTCAGAAGCAGCATGTGGGGAGCCGACCCCTCCTCAAGTATGGAAAGCCAGTGCTAACCTGGCGTCTCTTGCGAGGCGACGGAGGGAGTATGTTCCAAGGCTGTTGTCTGAGATGGGGCTTGGGAGGGCTCATGACTGACTACCCCTGTGGTTCCTGCAGAAGGAGGTTTTGATGGCATCAGCCTGGAGCCTGGTATAATAGCTGGCTTTGTGGCCACTGTGGTGTCTGACTTTGAAGTGAAAGCTGGCTCTGTAGGAAGGTGCAAGACATGGAGAACAATGTTTAGAAGAGTGTCTTTTCTCAGCTCCAGAAGAGGGTGGATTTAATACTTGCTCTGGTGAGCCTGCCCTGGGCTAGCCCACCCCAGCACATTGCTCCACAGCACTTTGGGAAAATCCCTTATGTGGGTAGCATATTCATCCATCTGGAATGGCCATGGGACTTTTGAGAACGCTGAAGGATTTACAGATATTTATCATGGTGCACGTTAGTTCGAGATCCCAAAGATTTGAGTAGATCCAGGCTTGTTTACTAGAGAAGGCACACAGACACTTAAGAGACTATCTCAAAAAAATGAGTGGAGCTATTTTTGCCAAGGACATCTGGGATGCTGATTTTAGTTTGTTTTTTACATGTTTGCACAAAACTTTTGAAATCAGGGGAAGCCTGAGATTCAGCCCGTCTGAACTTCAGAGAGAGTATTTGAGGAAAGCGTCCTGGTTTTGCCCTGATCTCAGGGAGGGGGGCCTGCGTTATGTTTAGACCCTGACTGGCAAATGGCCACTCCCAAACTGTAAGCTGTGGTGGCATAACTTCGCTGTTCTCTTTCCGTGAACAGTAGGTTTTCCATTGTGATAAATATGGTACTTAGGAACCGCAGCCCTGGAGCAAGGAATGCACAGAGCGCCGCTGTGGTCCCAGCATCACTGGCCATCGGACCACATTGTTTGGGGCCATTTCACATGCACTCCCAGCCACATGCGCCATGAGAAGTCTTGGTGCCCTTTAATCCCTTGTCACAACCTCACGTGTAACTCGCCCTACCCAGGCTGCCAGCACTCCAGGCGCGCTGCAGATAGCGTCCCCCAGAGCATTCCCAGCCAAGCACCTGTGGCCACATCATCATGCGTCAAAGATTACACCCTCACATCTGTCGACTGCACCGCTTCGTCTGCCCAAGTGTTTAGCACTCGAAGGCAGAGCTGGGAGAGGCCATTTGATTACTCTCATCAATTGAGTGAACCAGGTGTGACTCAGCTCAAAGGAGTTTTGGAATTACCCCACATTTAAATGGAGCCTGGACCTCAACCTCTTCCTTCTTGCATTTGTAGTCAACTACCTAACTAGGAGGAAACCTCTTTCTGGCCTCTCCATCCTCCCTTGAACAGTGGTTCTTAGCCTTGGCTACCGAAGAATCACCTGGGGAGCTTCTAGAACTCTAATCCCCAGATCATTCCCCAGATCAACCGGAGTTCCAAGGTGATCTCTCTGTGCATCCAAAGTTAAGAACCAGCACTCTAGGGGTGGCGTGCCTGAACAGCGCAGTCAGCAACAGCAGGAGGACTGTGCCTGGAGGGCCAGGAAAAGCCACACCCTACATAACGGGGCACAAAAAATCAAGAGTTAAGTGTAAAGTAAGGGTATCATAGGATAAGGGCACACTGTCCCAAGATAGTTAGCATCCAAGATTTCGAATTTCCTTAACATTGAGACAGTGCCAAGGAAATTGGGATAGAAGATCACCTAAGACTCAGTGAAATGCAGCACATTGGGAGCTTTGCACAATGCTTTTGTACTAGAGTGATCATAGGACTGTTGGGAGACCATCCTGCATGGGTCTTACGTTTCTGCTCGTCTTGCCAGCAGAGGCAACGATGTGACGGCCCTTTCTGGGGACCATCTTTTCAAGGATGCTTATATAGCCTTGGAAGATGGAGACAGCGCTTCCCTCTGGAACAAAGGGCAGACACGTTCACACAAATGATATAAGACTCAGGTTTCCTGAGCTCAGGCTTCCTCTCTTGTGACTCAGCCCGCTGTGTGTATGGGCACCTGTTTAGGTCCATCTGTGTTGCCTCTGTGGGACTTGGGGATGAAGGAATTGATTGATGCAGACATGCCAGTGCTCCTGCTGCCTGCTGTGCCGTGCAAGAAAGTCCTTTGTCTCTGATCCTGGAGGGTTGTGCTTCCTGCCGGCACCCGTGACACCACGGCGGGCTAACATGCAAGGCAGGTGAAATCTCAGACCTTCCTTGGTTCTTGACAAGGATATCTGTCTACAACTAAGTTTGATCTGGCTTATTAAGACCGGATTTTAAACCATTATTAACTATGTACATATGAAACCCGGATATCAAGCAACTTTGATTTAAAAGAGAAAATTAAGCTAATACAAATTCTTATTCTTGACTTTAATAAAAATTGTGTTCTACGATATAAGTTTGCAGTGGAGCTCCAGCAGTGGTCTGTGAATCTGAGGGTTGGTGGGGACCTAAGTGGTAGCAGGGAATGGGAGTTCTTAAAAGGTTTCCAAAGTTCCTACCTTTTCCAGAAGGGGTGGGGCTCTGTGGCTCTGAGGTCACCCCTGACGGCGCTAGTGTGGAGGGTGGCCTTTCGTGAGTCAGGGAGGGGTCTCCTAGAGAGAGGATAACCACATAGCATTTATGATCCTGAGGGTGGAAACTGGGGTGTCTTCAGAACTGGATATAATAAAAAATAAACATATAATTTAAAATGGACATACCTGGCTTCCTAGGATAGGTCAGAAGCACAAGAAATAAAACACAATCAGTGTTTCCCAATCTGCAGTTCCCATGCAAGTGCAAACACTGCAAACCATTTTCTAGCCTTTCAAGTTAAGCATCAGATGTCTTTTATTTTTTGGCTGGAATCATATCAACTCAGTTTTCTAATACTGGCTTTTGCATGGGAAAATAAATGATTACTCAATAGATTCAGGTTTTTTGGCAGAAAAAAAATCATTCAAAGCACAAGAGGTTAGGAAAAATAATCGCAGGAGTTGTTAGTGCTAAAAGGTGGGGAATCTTTGGGCTAGATGAAACCTAAAGATTCCTCCAGTCTTTGGTTTCTACAAGTCTATGATTCCAAGTCCCCCCCCGCCCTGGCTTTTCCTTCCCCCCACCCACCCTGCTCAGAGCCTACCTGTCTTCTCCATCCTGGATTCATTCATCCAAAGGAATTGGAACTTTGATGAAATGGTAACTTTCCCTACAGTGGAAAGCCCTTATCTTTGCCCCTGGATTACAGGTTCCAGTGGGTCCCTGGACTGGACGGAGTCAGACATCTACTCCGTGTTCTCACCACAGTGTTAGTGCTCATTCCTATCCTTACCCAGCTCATCACTTCAGTGGCACTTGATGCCATGGGCTGCTGCATTTCCCGGCAGAGCAATTCCTCTGCTACAAGTAGAAGGCCTCCTCCTTGCCCTGCCTCTGAGGTCTGCATGACGGTCACACGGGGGAGAGGGAAGGGACACTAGGTGATCTAAACAGTACAAATTCAGTGAGAAAGTCTGCGCTTCAAAGAGTGCTACAGCAGTGAGTTTGCCATAGAGCAACCTCTTTTGTCCGCTTCCCCCAGAGAGGAGTTGAGAATTTTCACAGATGTTATATGAGAAAGCATCTAGCTCACAGCCAGACATGCACCAAGTACGCAATAAATTTAAATCAGAATTCTCTTGGAAGACCGTGGGTTAATCTTTATTTTTCTAGAGAAAGGGGCTTAGTGTTCCTGGAGATAGCACCATTGGCTTCCATGCCAAGATTGTTTGGCCTCTTCTGGCATGGTTATCCAGTTGTGGATGGTTAAAAAAATTTGATTCTGGTGACCTTCTCTCACACTTGGCTCTGGAGCGCTGGCTGGACCCCAGACATGGGTGACGGAGCTAAGGGAATGTCTGCTCTGTGGGTGTCCCAGTCTTCTGGGTGGGTGCCAACAGAGAAGAACAGCTATAATCTCCCTGCAGGCTGTCTCCTAGGGAGAAATCAGGAAAGCTCTTTGGGAGGCAAGCATCCTGTGAGCACACACCCTTGTCTATAGCCAAATTCTTGCTACCATAATCTTAAAGCATTGATAGTGATAATAGTTAATATTAACCTGATTTCACTTAATCCTCTTACTACCCACAATGTTGACATCAGGTCCATTTTTTAGGGGAGGAACCAAGAGTTCCAAGATGTTAAGGCCCTTGCCCAAGGTCTCACAGATGGTAAGTGGCAGAGCCAGGATTTGAACCCAAAATTGTGTGACCCCAAAGCCCATGTATTTCCATCTTCTGGAGGTGTTGTTTAGAGGCCCATTGTTTTATTTAGCCTCAGACCTCAAGACAAATCTCTTGGCCCCCTGAGATGGGCTCATTCACCTTCCCACTCTGCAGTTTTGCTTTCTGGTGGAGGGACAGTGCAGGGAGGGCTACTTACTGATGCACTTGAGATTGGGAGTTGTCCAGTGGGCAAGGTTTGTGGTTGTGTTAAGCACACACTCAGTCAGGCTGGACGTCCCGGCTTTACGCTTGAAACCAGAGTTACAAACGTACCGCTCCTTGGAGCTCAGGTTGTAACTCTTGACCCGGATGTCTGCATGTTCAACAGTCGTGGGAGTAGGGCATGTGATGCCTGCAAAAGTGCAGATAAGAGGGGAGAGGTGAACAGTTTGTTCAGAGGCATTCTCCAGGGAACACTAGGGTGGCAGTCAATAACTTTATAGCCAGGATCTGGCTTATCCTAGGGGCCCCTTAGGATGCACCCCAGATTCCAAGCATGTGGAAGATGTTCAGTAAGGGCACCCATCATCTAGAAGCCTTCCAAGAGGCTTGCCTTAACTGGCCGCCATCCAGCATAGCTAGAGACTGGGAAGTCGTCAATGGAAACCCCTTCTCCCTCACCCTCCACTCCCGTCAGTCTCCAACCTCAATATCTCTTAAAGACATCCATCTTCCTCTCTTTCTTCTGCCCCACCCCAGACCAAGCCTCTGAGCTCTCTTGCTTGAACAACAGCAATAGCCTCCAGATTGGTCTCCCTGCATGCTCTCATTGCAAACCTTTAATCCATTCCCACAAGGCAGCCAGCATCATGTTTAGAAATGCATATTCAGTGACTTACTCTTTCCTGGCTGCCCGCTGCTCTTAGAATAAAAGCTAAAATCCTTAAGAGGTCCTCAAGGCTCTGCTGGATCTGGCCTTGCCTGCCTCTCTAGCGACTCTTCCCCCTGGCCACACTGGCCCTTGTTTCATGCCACTCTCTAGGCCTGCCCACTGTCCTGCCACCCCACTCTTGGCTGGCCATCTCCTGCCATCCTTCCCAGCTTACTTCAAAATCACTTCCTCAGGAAAGCCTTGCCTCACCCCGACAGTCAGCCAGGTCCCACGGTTCTGTGTTCTTTCCCTGTGCAGTCGCTTTCACAGTTGTATTTAAGACGTTGAGATGGTATAACTAATGTATGTCTCACCATCCACACTATGAGCTACAGAGAGTAGCGGCCACATCTGTCTTGCCCAATACTGTATTCCCTGAGCCTAATACAGTACCTGGCAACCGTAGGTTCTCAGGATATACTTGTTCAAAGAATGAATGGATGAACTCTTCCTCAACACCAGGCTTATGTCTGACCTTCTAATATAAGTGAGTTCTATCTACCTACTTCTACATGTGTAACCAGTTTATCTGATTCTTCTCACTTTTTTGGAAGAAACCAGGGGCAAGGTGAATTGCCCCAGATGGCTCTACTTCTGTGATAGCTGGAATTGGACTCAGACTCCAAAACTTCAGCTAGAATCCTGGCCATGGGGTTCTAGCTCTTTTCTGTGGAAATGACAAGTTTCACAAGTGAGTTTCTAAGGGTAATGGCAAGAAGAAAAAGAGGGACTGAAATGTTGGCCATTTCCATTTGGAGGATGCCATATTTGTTATTGACTTTTTTGTTAATTATTTGTGGCCTGTTGATATTTCTGCATCCTTGGAAAAATTCCTTTCCTATATAAATGCATGTAACATAAATGTTAAAGACAACTTAACTTTAATGAGTTGTAGGAATACTTCAGACTTTTTTTCTATATTATGTAACAACAACAACAATAAAACTTGCAAAAAGAAAAATTAACTTTTTTTTCCACTAGGCAAAAAATGAATGAAATTGGTATTATTTATCATGCACCTAATGTAAAATGCTATGGACTCCAGGAAAGAATCTATTCATAAGGCCTTGATAACAGTGAAAATAATATACTCCTTAGCACTAATTTTGTAGATTGGGGTTCTATAAAAAAACCCAAAAAAGGTCCATAGTTCTTTTTCTTTTTCTTTTTTTTGTGAGGAAGATCAGCCCTGAGATAACATCTGACGCCAATCCTCCTCTTTTTGCTGAGGAAGATTGGTCCTGGGCTAACATCCATGCCTATCTTCCTCTACTTTATATGGGATGCTGCCACAGCATGGTTTGACAAACGGTGCGTCAGTGCACGCCCGGGATCCCAGCCTGCAAACCCCCTGGCCGCCGAAGCGGAGTGCGTGCACTTAACCACCGACCCACCGGGCCGGTCCCAAGGTCCATAGTTCTTAAAAGGTGAGGACCCAGTGAAGGTATTACTCTACCACCATTCCTCCACACCAATATCGTTGGCCAAGCCTTGTTTAAGATAAGGTCCCGTCCAATACCAGAAAGTCTATTGCAGCTAAAGCTAAAAAGCAAGATTTTTCTTTAGCCATTTGAAACAACTGTATGATTTTTATACTCTGTTTCCTATTAATTCAATACATTTTAGGTTTTCTTGTGTGCAGAGAAGATGGGCCAGAACTGGTTTCTGAGGCCAAGCCTTGCCTGGGGCAGTGGAGGAGGCTGAAAGTGGGCTGTGTTGGATGGAAAGTCCCAAGGAGGGAAATTCCTCTGCAGCATTTTCCATTGTCCTGGAGCTTGTAGGGACATGTTGAGAAAGTATTGCCCCCCTCCCCCCACCATTACTAAACTGTGTGTACATGCTGAGTGATTCATTGGCTGAGGTGCTGGCAAAGGGCAGCAGCCTAGGTTACCGAGTCAGTTGTAAAGCATAAACATCTGTGGGCTGCCTACAGCTGCCTGGGAAGCTGGCTTTTTGGTCCTGGGTCAGGAAACCTGAATGAGTGTCTGCTGAGCAGCTGAGACTTCAGCAGGTAAGAAGGTTGCGACTCAGGCAAGAGAACTGAGTGAAGTAACCTTTCTGCCAAGGAGGACGGGATGAGGGGGAGACCCAATACAGTGGCAGTCAGATTCACAGACCGGAGTGGGGTGGCACCCCTAACTGCATCTGTGCCAAGAGTCAGCAAACTATGGCCCATGGGCCAAATCCGGCCCACCACCTTCTTTTGTCAATAAAGTTTTATTGGAAAACAGCCTTATTCATTCATTTATGTATTGCCGGGAGCTGCTTTCACACTATGACAACAAAGTTGAGTTGTTGTAACAGAGACCAGGTAGCCCACAAAGTCTAAATTATTTACTCTCTGGCCCTTTACAGGAAAAGCTTGCCAACCCCTGCTCTATGTAGCCTTTAAACAAACCATTGCCCTTCTTACTAAGACCAATTGCCCAGTGAGTGAGCACAGAACTGGTGCAGGCCTCAGAGTAATTGAGGTTGACAAAGGTAACACAGCCTACCTAAAAATATAAACCTTTCCAAATGGCAAAACCCAACGTAAGTCAAAAAGCAAATGACAAAATGGGAAAAATATTGCCTCTCATATCATACAGGGCTAATTTCTCTCATATGTTAAGAGCTCCTGAAAAATCAATAACAAGACTACCAATCCCATGGAAAAACAGGAAAAACATATAAACAGGCAGGTTCACAGAAAAGGAAATATAAATGGCTCTTAAATATATAAAGAGACTCAACCTCATTCATAATAAAGGAAATATAAAATAAAACTACCAAGATAGCATTTTGAGCTCCTAAATTGGAAAAGAGCCCAAAGTTGATTAATACACTCTTACTTTCATATTGCTTATACCGCCCCTAGCGAGGGCATCTTTGCAATCTAAATACACATGCTTGTTGACCCCACAATTCTAGGAATTTATGTTACAGATATATCTGCATACCGTGAAATGTTACACTGCACATTCCCTTTAACGCAGCAATTCTATTTCTAAGGCTTTACCTTACAGATACACTGGCATATTTACGAAGTGAATATATACAAAGTTATTGATTCTAATAGCCAGTATCTTTAAATTGCCTTGTATGTCTTCAGTAAGAGACTAAGTAAATTACAGTACAGCTCTACAATGAAGTACTACCCAGCTGTTTGCAATAGAGGAAAAAAGCTCTTTATGCACCAAAGTGCAAAGATCTCCAAGATACACTGCTAGGTTAAGAAGAAAAGGAACAGAACACTGTGTATTGTATGCTACCATCAGTGAAAAAAGAAGAAACAATACCTATACACACTCTTTAGTTTTCTATACATAAAATCTTCAAAAGGATATGCAAGAAATGATTTGCACTGGGGATGAGGCAGCTGAGAGATGTGCTGGGAGACGCTCTTCACTGGATGCCTTTTCATACTTTCTGAATTTTTAATGGTGCAAATGTTTTACCTGTTAAAAATGCTTTTGTAAGTTTCTGTAATGCTCTGTTTCTTGAGCTGCTGTGTACATGGGTGTTTATTATTTCTTTTCACATATTACAGATACACTGGGGTGAAAATCAAAATATTGAACCACCAGTGCCACTCAGACGCTGACCAATCAGAATGGCTGCTGGCATTGACCAGGACCAGGCGGGGTGACCACTGGCCACAGATGAAAGGCCAGAACAATGAGGACTGACAGAAGATCAGTCGTACATATGTGTTATATACTGTTTAAATATACGAAATGCTTCATAATAAAAAGCGAGAGGGGGTATTTTAAAGTACTCTACCGCAGGAAGTCAGAAACCTTGGTTGAGCCAAGGTCAAGAGAGGGATAAATCTTGCCAAGGGTGGGTGTTTAGTGCTTTTATTGGGATATGTCTCCTGCTAAATGAATGAGAGAAATGCAGAAGATCTGAGAAGTAGGAATTTTTGCCTCTCTGGGTAAGTCAAGGCGGCTTGCGCAAGTCAAATCGAAGCCAAGAAGGCTTGTAAGGCCATCTGGGAGGATTCTGGACATCCTTTTGGAGGACAAGACACAGTCACTCCCAATAGACTGTGGATGTGACAAAGTGCACGTGGAGTGAAAAATAAGATACGTTTTATCAGAAGAATGTTACCAAAGAAGATAAGAGCCAGAGCTAGGATGATTAAAGTCTTCTTTAACCTATAAAACTGTATTAAAAATTCCCCTTTCTTTCTAATTAGAAGTTGAAAGATTTGACCAAGATTTAGAACCTAAGATTTTCTTTGTTGTGAAACTTAATGGTGGGCCGGCCCCGTGGCTTGGTGGTTAAGTGCGCGCGCTCCGATGCTGGTGGCCCGGGTTTGGATCCCGGGCGCGCACCGAGGCACCACTTCTCCGTCCATCCTGAGGCCGAGTCCCACATACAGCAACTAGAAGGATGTGCAGCTATGACATACAACTATCTACTGGGGCTTTGGGGGGAAAAAATAAATAAATAAAATCTTTAAAAAAAAAAAAGAAACTTAATGGCGAAAACCAATA